GTCGATCTAAAAGAGAAGATTATTTGGGATCTCACATTACTAATTAAATCATTTGGAAATTGTAACAACTTGAAGTAAAAAATGTTGTAACACCGTAAATTTCAAGACAAAATTTTCATTTAAAATAATCATTTTACTCTTAGAAACACTTGTTTAAAATCTTATTCATAGTCGATTTACAAAACATAACTCCATTTTCACTTGCATAGAAAACCAAGATCCTCAAAAATATGACTCTTTCTCTGGTGTGTACAATCAAGCCGGTGCCGTCCCGTGATACTGAAAGAAACCTGTAAAACATCAAACAAAACACTGTAAGCACGAAGCTTAGTGAGTTCCCCAAAATACCACACATAACACATATTAGCCACTCGAGGCTATAACTCTGTGGGTCCGTGCACCCAAACTCTGTGAACCCTCAGGTTCTAACTCTGGGAACCTTCCGGTTCCAACTCTATAAACATGCACAACATAAATCACATAGAAATAATGCAGTACAACACATCACGTACATATAGCATACAAATACTCTAATCACATAACTCTGGTTACCTACTCAAGGTAAAGTATAGTGAGAAGACTCACCTGGCAAGCAGAAAGCAGATATCCCCACACTTGAATCTCGAACTCGCCACCGCCTAACACGTAAGGCAAATACTCTCATGAATATAACTCTCGAGGCTAGAATAAATCCTCTCATAACACCCTCTTATGGGTAAAAGACTATTTTACCTCTCTCTTGGCCCAAAGGCCACATCGCTGTCCAAACCCTAAAACTCAACGGCCAACCCTTGGTCGAAATCAAAGTCCTCAGTCTAGGTCAACCCTTGACTGACTCTACTCGCCGAGTCAACCCTGTGACTCGTCGAGTTCCCATAATCAGAACTTCCCCATATCGCGACTCAACTCGTCGAGTCACCACGAGACTCGCCGAGTCCCACAACTCTGAGTCCACTCACACCCAACTCACCGAGTCATCCCTTGACTCACCGATTCTCGACTCAACCAGGAAATATTTGGGACTCTTCGTCAAGACTCGTCGAGTCCAAGAACAGACTCGCCGAGTCTACGGCTATCTTCAACCTACTCGCCGAGTTGTTCATACAACTCGCCGAGTTCCAGGCCATCTTCATCCAACTCGTCGAGTCCACCCATGTGACTCGCCGAGTACCGCCGGTCTGAATACATTCCGAAGCATTCCAGGCCATGCAACTGCTCCAAGACATAGATCTAGCCTCCTACCACTCATCCATCACGTAAAGTGGCAAACTTTACGTGAATCCAAAGAGATCTAAGCCGTTTGCACATTGGGGCTAGGTTTGGGACATGCAAGCTTCACTAAACACTCCAACACAGGGACTTTCATGCTCTCTGATTCTTCTCCCTTCCAGATCTGAGGTAGCAACCTCAGATCTAACCTCTAGACTTCCCATTTCATCCATAGACAATTTCTCACAAACCCCAAAATGAAGAAACAACATAATCAACAGGTCAAAAACGAGATACTACCTCTAAGTGATGCCCCAACTGCAATGCAATTCGAATCCAAGCAAAGCCCCTTGCTCCAAGCCTTCAATCTTCCCAAAATTCCTTCAACCATTACTTCTCCAAGCTCCAATCCACTCAAAAATGGTGCTTCTCCGCGATTTAGGGTTTTCTGGGGCTCAAGGGGTGATAAAGAGGCTGGGAGGAAGACATAATGATCATTATATAAGGCTCAACCCCGAGAATTAGGGTTTTCTCCACTCAGCGCCTACTCGCCGAGTCCAATACACTGACTCGCCGAGTCGGCCACTTAACACGCGACCAAGTCGCGACTCTACTCGCCGAGTCCACACATGGACTCGCCGAGTCGCTCTTTCCCAATTTACTCTTTTAGCCCTTCAACTCTACTCTTGATATTTCGGGATGTTACAAATGTCATGCCAACAAACCCACTTAATCCCTAGATTTAATAAAGGTGAATCGCTTCTTGATTTCGCCATCAATTCAAAATTTTGTGAATAGAAAGTATCTTGAGTTGACTAGATTTACGATTGTAAAGGAATGCAAATGATTTACAACTAGAATACCTGGTTTTTAAGGCATCGTAAGAAAACATTCATCAATAAGTAGAAAATAAGCGATCGATAGATAAATCAATAGAATAGATATAAAATGAGGGCATTCACCTTCTAACCTTCAACCTCCTCTATTAGGATTTGCTGCCTATTTCTCAGATTTAGGGCTTTTAGGGCTCTTAGGGTTTCAGACTTTGACTTGAAATCCTACTATTAAATAGATGCACTTTTATAGACCTACACAGATCGGGTTAAATCAATGAAAGCTTACAAAGAGGGCAATATGGTAAATTCACAATACTCGGTCTTATTCACCAATTTAATTGATATGGCAAGCAGCGGAAGACATAATCTATTCCAGTCTTTGCTATATAGATTTTCGACTTAGTAACAATTACAAAAGTACCCTTAACGTGGAATGCTATATAGATATTCGACTTACTAACACTTAGGCGCAGTTTGGCAAACTAGCTAAAAAACAATGTTTTATCAATAAGCTAGCTTATAAGCTACTTTATAAACTATGATAACTACTTTTATGGTTTTACCAAACGCAAAATTACTATAAGCTAGATTATTTTTGCCAAACATGGCCTTAGAAAGATTATTGTAATCTAACCCTGATTTCTCTCATTGTGTGTCTATTGATCTTGATAGAGAAGCCCAAATATAAATTTGTTTCTTTGTTTTTGTAGGATTTGAAATATGAAATCTAGTTTTGTGTGTTGGAATCAATCTCACGGCATGAGAAAGGCGTTGTTTGGTCACGTATTATTTTAGTGTTACAAACAAAAATATTGTTAATAATTATAAAGAAAATGGATATAGATATGAAAAAATGGGAATCATTCAAACATTTCATCCCTTCATGCCAAAACGCACCAACCAAGAATATAATGCTGACTTTTTAAGAAGAAATAACACCAAATATACGATGGAGAAAATGAACTTAAATGGTAAAATAATTATTTAAAAGATTTAGAATATTTCATTTCAAATTGGATAAATAAAGCAAACCCACGAATGGAATGGTAATGGACCATACCGTTACTTCATTACATTTTTCCCCATTCCTGTCAAGAGAAGCCTGTAGCAATAAAAATATGTTATTTTCTTCATTATATTCCACCTCATTATGCAAAGCAATGTTATAGAAAAAAAAACATAAAACCAAGAACAAGAAAAAAAAAACACAACTTTAATTATTAAAGCAATAAGATAGAAAAAAAATGCAACCAATATATTGAAACGACCAGAAGGATAATCAAACAAACATGACAACAAATAAGTTATAAGAATATAAAAGTACGAAGAAGAAATATATACATTGTTCCTTGTTACGCAAATTGAATAGATTGACCATAACTATAATTAATAACAAAGTTTAATTATTTCGAAAGCTTATGTTTCACAATTTACACTTTATATAAGTATTGCATAAGCCAAATTATCTCAATTCAATAAATTATATATGGAGTTTAACTTTATATGATGGGTCAAAGTCGATGCACATTTATGCAGCAATATTCCATCTTTTCCCAATTTATACAACAAAATGACAACAATATTTTTCTTAAACAACATAATATATATAAGCTTGAGATTCCAAATTAGATAACGAATTCTTTCCTTTTTTATTTCTTTTGAGAAAAAACTTGCCTTTTAAGATCTTTCTTCTATCATATATTCTTATATAGGCCAAGGGATGCATAGTAACATTGACCCGTATTCAACACTTGGCATATCAATACTATTAAAAAAACTAAATGCAAATTTAGAGGCCTTATCTATAGTACATCATGAGACTTTATTAGTATTTAATATTAGTGTATTACTCACTAATAACACAGCTAAGTTTCATATAGCAATGAAATAAATAAACTACAACTATAGATACTTGCAATGGAAATTACTGCACAATAATTACTATGTGTAAGAATCATGTTGATGATCAACATTTATCAACTTCAAGGTGAGTAATTTCATCTTCAAAAAAAGAAATTTGTGCACTTCTCACCACAAAATTTTGCTAACTAACTGAAAAACGGAATTTAGATTTCAACTTCGATACAAAATTCTTCGACAAATTAGATTTTCTTACCAAAACAAAGAGAACCAGAGAAATAATAATAATATTGATAATAATAACTTGATACCTTCAATTGCCATTGCAAGTAGCCAAATCTTTGATATGATTGTGCCTTCTATGCATATCCATTTACCAAAAACAACTACCTGTTATGATTTCAAAATTGCTTCATTAGTAATGTGAAATCCCAAATAATCTTCTTTTGTTAGATTGAAAATTTGAATTAGTAGTTGCATATTTAAAGAAATAAATCAATTCCCCAATTATCGTTTTGATTGCACTTCAAATGAATGGTTTTGTTACAATTGTTTTAGGGCCAGATTCATTTAGATATCAGATTGATTACACATAAGATTGAGGTATGTTCATTTTTCTGCTGTCACATTAGGTTTTTGTCAATTATGTTCATTTTGGAAGATGTTTGTTTACCATCAATTATAAGTCTTGTTGGCACGGAAAAATATAAGTCTTGTTGGCATGAAAAGCTTACCGGCTCACTTTTTACATGTGAGGTGTCGAATAACGGTCAAGGTGGACCCCTTTTCAAAATCACAATGTCCAGTTGCTCAGAATTACATCTTCAATATGGTCAAACTATTCTATGTCGAGCAGACCTTGAGGACCATGACAATGTTGTGACCGAGCTGACCGAGATAGATCAGGACATTGGTGATGAGATAGTGTATGAAGATGTAATCGGTGACCAATGTTTTCAAGGGTAATCACTATCTTCAACATGGGAGTTATTATTGAAAATGATTGTTGATGTTCACGAAGAATTTTGTCAACCGGAACGGCAATGTACATGAGTGTGTTACTGTAGCCATGCGGAAGATTTGAACTTCTTATTATCTGTTTATTCTATGCACCACGTCATCATAGATCTGGAGAACTTTTTGAGTGTCAATGTGCAATCTGTCGTTAAAGGTGACAGAGACTAGTGAGTTTTTAGAGTTGTTAAAAATTTGGTTGAGAAGGATGTATATTATGCAAAGATCATTACTTGGTTCATATTTAACAACTTCAAATAAAAATAACTTACTTTCTCTTTTACATTCCACTCATCAGTGAAAACAAAATATGCAGAGTATGTTATTTTTTTTTTAAAAGCATAACAATCAATAACAATAAAAAATAAACTTTAGGAAAGAAAAACACAACTTCAATTATTAAAACAATAAGAAAAACATAAAAGCAACCAAGATACTGAAATGACATTTTTGACTGTGCGAAAAGGAGTGTGAGGTTAATAATAAGGATGAACAAAAAGATAAAATTCAAATAAAATGAGAAGAAATAAGTACTAAGAATATTAAATACAAAACCAGAAATGTATTTAGATTTTAGACGGTCAAATGTTGCGCAAAATAAATAGATCGAGCATAACCGGTTAAGTAGTCTGGGAGCTTATGTTTCCTATATTTATTTTATATAAGTATTTCGCGCCAAATTATCTCAATTCAATATATTTGTTTCGGTAGCTTATTTTCTTATCAATCCTATTAAGAAAACCAAAAGCAATTATGAAGCCATATATCTATAGTACATGAGACTTACATTATCATTTACTATTATTACTCAATACTATCACAGCTGGGTTTCATATAGCAATGGACATTATTGCATAATAATTACTATGACAAGAATCATGTTAATCATGAATGTTTTCTCAACTGCAAGGTGATAATTTATTCTTTCATAAAAGAAATTATACACTAATTGATCTAATTTAACAAATCAGAGATTTTCAATCCTTATCGATTTTCTTGTTAGTTGGACTAACCCATTTGGCGTCACAATTTAGATTTTCTTTTTAAGACAGAGAGAACCAGGAAATTAATAGTAATACTTGATACCTTCAATTTTCGAATTTTCGGGTCTGGTGGAAGGATGCTTGGATTTGAAATCTTAACGGACAATGACCATAAAGCAGCCTGTCAATCAACCACTCTCCGCGTATCCTCAGACCAAAAACATCTACGGTGGCGCCACCTCCATTCCCGCCCACTCAAAGGGGAAACGGCAGGGCGAAACGTCGGATTCTCCAAGAACAATTGTCGGTGTATGATCTCTGGTGGCTATAGGAGACACGTCGTTATGGAATGATCTAAACAAGAAAGCGGCGTCTTCGCGGTTGAGTTCCAAAGAGGCGTGACGAAAAATAGTGCCATCATCCAACCAGGGTTTCCAGGCGACATGGCCGCCATTGTTTTGTTTAACAATGGGTATATTCAGCACTTCAGCTAGCAACTTTGGGTTGCCTTTTATTCTATTTTTAAAGAGAAAATTATACGGATAATCCCTATGGTTTGAAATAGTTTGTCATTTGGTCTTTTTAACTTCTTTTTTAACATGGAAGGTATTATGATTTTTTTTTTTTTATGTTTTTGATCCCTCACTTATGACAACTGCTGTCAGCTTATTCCGGCAACCACTGCCAGCCCACACCGGCAACCAGTACCGGTAATCATCGGCAGTCAAGCCAAAATCAAATCAAAACCTGCAACCAAAATAATATAAAATATCACCTAGTTATTTAATCAAATCTTCAACCTGTTGAAGATCCAAACCACACGAATTATAAAAACCATACCGATACTTACACTAACAAATGTTATTTTCAAATTAGAGTATAAAAAAATCGAGCTACTAACTTAAGAGTTATAGAACATCATGTCAATCGACACCACAATTTTGTAAGTTTTTTTTACTTAACGATACTCATAATTAATATATAAGTTATAAGAAAGATTTACATAGACGTAACGGGTAAACGAGCAACAAGCTGTGCTGCAACCCCTTTTTTAATGGCAACACTATTTTTTTTAAAACAACATCTATATATCTAGGAGTCATAACATTACTATACATGACCCGTTGGACTCTATAGAGTAGCTCCACAGCTTCTGACACAAGAAAACTGAAAGTATCAAATGCAAATGGTATAAACGTGTGTTAATTGTCCATACACTGTGACATCCCAAAATTATAGACCAAAATTTTCATTTTTAATTAGGTTATTATAAAACCAATTAGTATATAAACATCCATATTATCATCCTATGTCAAATCTAAAGTGTAAATAATCAAAACATATTATCATAAAACAATATCACAGTGTAATCCCAAAGATCTCATGTGCGGAAAACATAGTGTGATGTCTTGCGAACAAGTCGGCTTCTTTCCTTTGAAAACGAAGTACCTTAAACCAAAACTATAAACCGTAAGCACGAAGCTTAGTGAGCTCCCCAAATACCGCACACCATACATATCAACATACTGCCTAGCATATCTAGGTGTTGGTCTACCCCTTCAATCTCTTTCAACCGGATATTATCTACATATAAGCACATAACTCGCATATTATCAAACATAATCATGAGCCATACATATATCATAATTAGTAAAGATGTTATGTGCCAAACATAGTCTTGTCATTATGTCACGGGCCGCCACGTGGTCTTTCTTGCCAAGTCGGGGGCCACCCCCTCGGTCTCACAGACAAGTGCCAAGAGCTACCTCCTAGCCTTCCATGCAAGCATCATAAAGATAACTAGCATACATACTAATCTACTTAGCTAATCAGCATACAGTGTGCTAGAAGCCACCTCCTGGTCTTTCATACATAATAGCATACAGTGTGCCAGGAGCCACCTCCTGGTCTTTCATACATATTGCCTAGGGCTAACCCCGGGGTCTTCCTACCATACATAATAACATACTTTGTGTCATGAGCTGCCTCCTGGTCTTTCATGTATAATGACTAAGACTACCCCCAGGTCTTCCTATCATACATAAACTAAATGGGCCGATATTGGTGCCTTAGACCCATACAAACAATGAGGGGACTCACCTCACACTGTTGAAGTCCCGCAGATAAAGTTGTGGCTGCTGGCTGACAAATTCCCGAATATGTCAACATCAAAATAACACCCAATTAATAATTAGGTCCCAACATATATCCATAAGTCCATGTTTGGGGTAAAAGACTACTTTACCCCTAACTTAGCTTGATTCAAGCCCAAAACCCAATCCAAAGGCCCAAAAGTCAACTATGAGTCAAAGCCCAACATATGGCCCAATTTTCCAATTTGGGCCCAAACCTTTACATGGTCTTATTCTAAGGCCCAACCATTTAGTCCGGTCCAAACATTTAGCATTTCTAATGGCCCAATATCTCATAATCATGAAGGCCCAATTATAGCCCATATATGGCCCAATTTTCCAAATTGCGCCCAAAACCTCATATGGGCCTTACCCTAAAGTCAATCCATAAATTCTTAGTCCATATGATTGTTCTTGGATGGCCCATCAATACCCCAATCACTAAAGCCTAATAGAAAGGCCTAACTCAAAGCCCAAGTGAAATTAGGGTTTCACATAAAATGACAATTAAAGTTAAGTGTTTCTCACTTAACTCATTAAGGACTTAATCCATTAATTCCATCAATCTATTGGGTTAATCGTGTAGTGTGTTCGGGCTTAATACATAATCCCAATCCGGTCATCCAAAATGCAAGTCCCGACATTCCAAAACCCCTATATCCAATATTAGGGTTTTCTAAACCCTAATTAAGGTTTCCAACCCACTCATAGCCCAATAGGTCCAATAGCTAGGTCTTTTGATCAATTAGGGTTCATTAGGCCCATTAGGGTTTCATTAGACGGGTGTCACCCACTACCACCTCGGGTAGTGGTGGTCAATGGCGGTGGCCACCACTTCACGGTGGTGGTTATGAGTTTCTTTTATTATTCAACAATGGTTACAATGTTACAAAGCAAAAACCCAACTAACACACACACACTAATACAAACACGCACACATACACAACTTCCCTAGTGGTGGCTGACGGTGGCACATGGTGGCAGTCACTACCTCATGGTGGTGGTGATTATGATCTTTGGTCGATACAACACCAAAGGTACTCCAAATATCAATCCAAAAATAGGGCTGGCAATTCTCGACACGATACGCAACACGACACGAAATACATGGGTTTGGGTTGAGTTTTTCAACTCCCTAACCCGCCAACCCGCCAACCCATTTATTAAACGGGTCATATATGGGTTTCTCAAAAAATAAACGGGTCGACCCGCCAACCCGTTTATATTCTTAATAAAAAATTATTTTATTTTTAAATGTATTTATGTATCAAGTATTAATATTTAATAAGTATTATATAATATATACCATTGATTCATAGACCATTTGACTGTTTTGACATTTTGACTCGTGCTGGATGGTTTAAGGACGTAAGTCGTGACCTATAAGGCTAAGTCTGTAACACGTTTCTATGAATGTTTTTAATTTTCATTTGGATGTTTAAGACTTAAATGTCTAAAATTCAGACCCACAAACCCAAATGTGACCCACAAACCCGCCAACCTGTAAACTCGTATAAATAAATGGGTTGGCGGGTCATATATGGGTCTATGTTCCAAACCCGCCAACATGTGACCCACTAACCCGTGACCTATATATTTAAATGGGTCGTGTTTGGGTTGACATATTTTGACCCACCAACCCGCCAACCCGCGAGACGTCAACCCGAACACGACACGATTGTCATGCATATCCAAAAACACCCGAAAGCCCACAACCATCCAAGATGGTGGCTAACAGTAGCGAAGTAGTGGCAACAGGCGGCGGAACAACGACAACAGGTGGTGGTGATTAGTTTCCTTCCATTTTCTAGCAAGGTAAGGGTCTACACAGCATTATCCTTATGAGATATGGTTATACACAACAAATCACGCACACAACCACCACCGCACGGTGGCTGGTGGCGACAAAAAGAGATGACAAGGTGGCAGCCACCATGGTTAGCAGCTATGGTCGTTTTTCTCGGGTGTTTCCGGCCAAACAACGCACATGCCCCACCATAAATGCCTACAACAACATGTATGCGCGAACACACACTCTCACAACCACAACCTAGGCGGCGAACGTCGCTGGAAAAGGTAGAAATGGCGACTACAAAGGGCAGCAGTGGCAGAAACAGTGTATATGACTCCATACACACCGAAAGGAATGACATGTAGGAGAGATCAGTTGTGGTTTGACCTTACCGGGAGGTTCTGGTTGTTCGCACTCCGCTATTCATTGTTCACAGCTTAAACTCCGGTCTCGGCGATCTCCCAACTATCCTCAACGTCTCCAGCGACAACGGGGAATGTAACATTAGCGTTCGTTGACAAGGCATCAGGTGGAACCGATGGCTCACGATGGTGTCACGGAGGCAACGCCAGAAGAGTTTAACACAAAGGTGGCGGCGAAACATAGATTAGGTTTAGGGTTTGGTTGAAGGCGTTGATCCTTAAAACGGGAGGAATGACCACCAGATTCAAGTCCCGTATTCCATCAAACTTTGTTTCCTTTTTCCAACTTTGATCCCTCTCCACAAAATCCTTTTAAATTTTAAGTCTAGAAGTTTCCCTTTATCCCCTGATTCCATAAATTCATTTCTTTTTAAGTCCAAAACATACCAAACAACCCCTCATCTACAATTTATTTCTAAAAGAAGTTCATATGTTACCATTCAACCCTTAGCTTCCAAAATCTCTTCAAATTAAGTCCCCATAATTTACCAAGTAGTCACTGTCTTCACAAATATTTATAAAACCAATTCGAAACTTACACTTTTAATCCCTGAATTCTAAAAATATGACACTTAACTCATAGAGACCAGCCCTTGATATATAATTATTGATTTTAGGGCTACTATTCGTTCATTAATTTGTTTATTTATTTATTTATTTATTAAATGAGGTGTTACAACTCTCCCCCACTTAAATTAGATTTCGTCCTCAAAACCATTCATTACCATTCCTTACACGCCCAACCACTCTAGTAACATGGTCACCATCCTGGGTACTGATGGGTTTTGGTCATAAGACATCCTATGTGCTCATACAAACCCTAATGCTTGGATCTAGGTTTCTCTATTGTACATGCTTTGAATCCAAGACTATAAACCCTAATTCTAACATATGGAAATCGACATTAGCATATAATTAGGTTTAAGAACATACCTTGATTGTTATATAGCAATAACAATCACAACTCCACCTTGGATTGACTTTGGAATGCTTAGAGTCACAAGTGTCACTCCTCTAATGGCTCACAAACACCATAAGCAAATGGAGAAGGTATAAAGAGAGAAGTGAGAGGTTAGAATTCGTATCTAGGACCTCTTGGGAAGGGATACATGAATTCATGACCCTAGGGGTGTTTATATAGGTGTAGAGATAGGGTTTCAGTCATTATCCTTATCTAGTTGATTATCCATTAAGCAACCAATAAGATAATCCTTGAATCCTTATCATACTCGAATTCTAAGGCTTTCCAACCTTAAATTCGTCCACCATATAAATAAGATAATCCTTACCTTATTTTGTAACTATCACATAATTACAAATTAGCCCCTCTAGTTTAATTAATTACATTTGATCACAAAACTAATTCTTAATT